ACCAAACAGTTCACATCCTCTTACCATATGTAATACGTAAGGACATAAGGACTATCCTATGGACAATAAGGTGCCGGTCAAAATGTCAGACCTTTACAGGTTATTACTCACTGGACCAAATCTCAATATGCCCCTATTTAACTGCAGGGCAAACCACTCACTACAGCTAAATTCATAATGTACCTCAGAACCCTCTAAACTAGGCGGGGACTCAACTCCAATGCCTTTTCGGGACATTCCTCCAGAATCAGGGCAGCATCAGATGCTTCCAGACAAATGTCCCTGCGCACACCATAAACATTAGAACACTGGAAATCCACAGTATATTACTAGATACATACCACAACCAGAGCTAGAGTTGAGTAGGACAAGCCTTTATGAATCTTGCAACATAAAGATGTGTAATAAGGTATCTTATTCAACTTTTTGCCCTCTTTTATTACAGGCCTACCAGATAGGTCGGTTTCGGCACACCACAACCGACTTGCTCATATATCTAACTTATCATGTATACGGCTTTTGTCCCCGACTACAAATTGGAAGGCGTAGCCTGAAGTTGTGGGAGGGGTTACCCGGCTATTTAAATTTAGGCACCCTACACCACAGGGCTGATGCTGCCTGGTCCATCCCTCCCACCTCTCCCCTTATACATATTACTATTACAGGTGGGCCCTCTTTTATTACAGGCCTACCCGATACGTCGGGTTTGGCACACCACAACTGACTTGCTAATATATCTAACTTATCATGTATACGGATTTTGTCCCTGACTACAAATATATATATATATATATATATATATATATATAAAATATAATTTTTTTGTTAGATGTTAAAAATGTAAAAAAAAAACCATTTTGTTTATTTTTATATTTATAAATATAGACACACATATATACATACATTCTACATATATATTTAACTATTAATTTTACATAATTATTTGATTTTATTAATTATAATTTGAGGGACCTGCCTGACAACCCATGCAGACAGTCCAGACAATTTAACTGGCAAGCCCTATTTTTAAACCTTTACATGGGGGATATTGTTATACTTGGGAGACTTCGCTGCACACAATTATGAGTGTTTTAAAAAGCAAAACTTATGACAACGATGATATCACCAGTAAAAGGGCAGTTTTTGTGTAAAAAACAAAACAAAAATGTGAACACTAGCTTTGGCAAGCGTTTGTGACTAAGTGGCTACTACAAAAGACTGGACATACCCCATTTAGAATACCCTGGGTTGTCTACTATTTCAAATGGTATGCCATAGTGGGGTTAATTTTTATTTCTGAGCTGCCATACCATCTCAAAGGCAAGATAGCCAATCTAGCAAATAGCAATTTACAAAAACAGAAATTGGCAAATCTTATGTTTGACCCTGTAACTTTCCAAATCACCATAAAACCTGTACTTGTGGGGTACTGTTGTACTCGTGAGACTTTACTTTACACAAATATGAGTGTTTTAGAGCAGTAAAATGCATTATACTGATAATATCATCGGTTTATTTGGGGGGGAAAAACAAAACAAATATAAACGCTAATTTTGGCCAGGGTTTGTGGCTAAGTGGCTACTTAAAAAGACTGGACATACCCCATTGCAAATACTGTGGGTCAGCTATTTTTACAAATGGTATGCCATGATGGGGTTAATTTTCATTCCTGGGCTGCCATATGGTCTCAAAGGCAACATAGAACCAGCAAACCAATCTGGCAAATTTCAAAGTGCATACATGGAAAAGCCCTACATTTGACCCCTGTAAGTTTCCAAAAACTCATAAAACTTCTACTTTGGGGATACTGATGTACTCATGATACATTTCTGAATACAAATATGTGTATTTTATTTCAGTAAAACCCAAGAGTATTATGACACTCGCAGTTAAAATTTCATGCAGAACTTGAAAAATAACTTTTTTTTTAGATTGAATTCATATTAAATTATGTTTCATATAGAAATATTTGATATGAAATTAAAGTCCTGTTTCTCCTGAAATTATCTATACTATATGTGGGTGCACTTAATATGAAAGAAGTAAATTATGGTTGAACCAAACATAGCGCAAATTCCAGGTTTTGTTTACGTTTTGTTTTGATCACAACTTTGGTTTGTTTTGATCCTTAAGGGGTTAAAAGTGTCAATTGTAGACAATTTTAAGAGGGTTTAAAGCCAAAATAGTCATGTTTTAAAAAGTCTTCAAGTATCCAAGTCAAATTACTCAAGGTCCATAATCCTTCACAAGATAATTGTGCATTTAAAGGAACAACCCCAGCACCATAACCACTACAGTGCCAAAACTCCATTGTTTCATAACTGTTTGACTTCTTACGTGGAGCATTGGATTTGCAGCATATTTCCAAAACAGTTTCTTTTTTTCTTTTAGTACAGCTCACTGTTTAGTAAATATACCCTATAGTGACATATTTTGCATCTAATCTCTGACGTACTTTGGAGTTTTATTTACGAATAGCCCTATTTCTGCCCTCACAGGCTAACTGTTCTCTAGCATGAACGTTTTCTGGCACACAAAGGTTCGTCCTCGCTCTTCCCTCACCTCAAGCACTGGGAAGCGGGTGGATGGATCAGTAATTATTTATCAATAAATCTGCCAAGACAAAAGCTAATTAAGCGGGCGTTAACCCCTCCACCCCCAGTACTTTTTATGTAATGGGCTGTGTGCTTCTTGTATTCTGAACGCTTACATAACAGAAAAGCATTTCACAGACCAATTAGATTTGTTTCCATGGATAATATACAACTGGTACCAACTCAGTCTGTTTGCACTGGCGCCAGTTCCCAACTTCGTAGGCACACAAATAAAATCTGATTGTGAAATCTGAATATTACCGTGAAGGGTTAAATATGACTATTGACACAATACGCTGCTCCCATATTACAGCCTATAATAAAACGTATTATTGCGTTGGGCTGAGCTTGATATATAGTCTATGGTAATTAGAATGGTATAGAATTTGCGGAACGATTTATTACCATACGGCATTGTTGGGATTATTTACTAATGAGAGAATTGTTTCTTTTCTTATTAGTATCCCAAACATGAACATTTAATCCCTTAAAGGGTTACTCTACACACCATAACCACTTTATTTTGTACCGTGAGTCTGTATGTGAATCGCTGCACATACTGAATGTAATCCTTTTTGTTTCTGAGGTGTAACTTTAACGCTGGCAAGAGCTTCAACCTGGCTAATGTCAGTTTTGTTTAGAAAGCACCTGGTGGGATGCGAAACGCATCCAGGACGTCACTTACCATTTTTTGGGTGGTCTTCTTAGGTGGTCTCCCCTCTGACAGTAGTTGCGGGTAGCTCAATCACTTGGTATTTTTATATATTTATTTGGATATTGCGTTATTTTACACACTTGATACTATTTTGTACATATGCTATTGGAACTACCTCAGCATACACAAGGACTGCTGTTACGATGTGTATTTATTTCTATTACTTTTTTCAATAAATGTGCCACTTTTTCATTAACTTTTTTATTTGTGGAGTGTTTGAATTTACCCATGTGTGTGGAACGCTGTGTTTTTTCTGGTAATGTCAGTTTTGTGCAAATTTTGCCAAATTGGTTACGTTGCCTTTGAGACCGTATGGTAGCCCAGGAATAAGAATTACCCCCATGATGGCATACCATTTGCAAAAGTAGACAACCCAAGGTATTGAAAATAGGGTATGTCCAGTGTTTTTAAGTAGCCACTTAGTCACAAACACTGGCCAAAGTTAGCGTTCATATTAGTTTTTTTTTCGTTTTTCACACAGACAAATAGGTTTCGTCCCTGGACAACATGCCTTTGACAATACTCAAAATTTTTGGCCCTTTAAATATAATGAAGAGAACTCATCATTTACATTGAATTTTCCTAGCACTTGAAAAAATTCCAAAAAGGCACTTGACAGGTTGAACTGGCAGTACATGCAAGCCACATTGCACAAATTTGGGCTGCCCAATTAATTTATTACAGTCATAAATGAGACTGTCTTTATTCCACGCTTTCAGCAAAAATCTTCAATTCAGGATTTTTATCAGACCATTTTACAATAACAAATGGCACATGTCAGGGATGCCGCCTTTAACATTATTTTGAGAAGTGGAACCATTGCTAAAATCAAACAATCCCCCTTGATCCATGGCATCCTCACAACTTTATTGTAATATGCACCTTTTCCCAATGTTCAATACAGTAAACTTGTGTTTGGTATCAGTTTTTTCCAAAGTAAGTATAGCACAGATGTTAAACACAGGGGTGAGCCATAGCAACCTGTCGTTATTTTGTGGCTAATTTTCTAAATACTTTCATTAGTCACTGGCCTTATCTTATAGTTAGGATAGCCTTATGCCTATCCCACGCATGCTTAAACTCCTTTACTGTGTAAGGATTGGGTATAGGGTTAATTTAGTTATGGCCTTCAATCTAACTATATTATTTTGCAGTATTAAGAAAACAGGCCACCACTTGTAACCTAATTCATCAAACCTGTGTCAAATGTGTGAAATGAGCAAGGCATATAAAGCATATAAACTCAACAAGTAACAGCTGGAGGTTGTCCTAAAAGATCTATCACTTATCAACACAAATTGTCAGGAAACATATTAAATGGACTTTCCACATTCCTAAAATACAAACATGAATCTAATATAACATCACTAATATCATCCTTTTTTGAAATGGACATAGTCAGAAGGTAAATACAAAAGTACAAAAGCGGTGAAGCAGTAAGCAGACCTTGTTGTTGCAACAGCTACTATAAATCTTAGATAGGCAGTTAGATTTCTAGTTTCATGGACGCAAGCGTGCGAAGGAACTAACCAGTCGCACAGGGCAAAGAGCACTATCTGCTGAGGCAGGCATGGACACCCATGTACCCCGCCCCCTTTAGTCAGACTTGGAACGGGGAATGAACAGCAAAACTGCCTGAGGGGAAAGGGAGACATGAGCAGCTTGGATACCGCGGCCCACCAAGCTGGATGATGGAGCTGCCAGCTCCCCCACCCGGAGTGCACCATGAAAAGCTAGGGCAAACACTGCCTGAAAAAGAGAGAGCTCAAACGGAGAAGAACAAACTAATGGTAAAGCAAGCAGGAACAATATCAGACGAGCACAGGATTATGGGTTCCCGAGTGCCCAGCGGACGAGACTCTGACCAACTCGAACCTTTGAGAACCTGCCTAACCATGAAAAACCTTGAAGGATCTGGCTTACCTGCAAATCTCATAATGAATAAAAGGGCAGCGAGCCTGGTCCCCACCATAGCTCTAGAAAGGCCACGGGAACGCAATGTAACCAGCCAACTCAAAAATGTCCCCTGTGAGGCCTCCACATCACGAACCCCGATATCCATAGAGAAACTGACCCATTCGCTACAGCAGCGGATGTATGACCTCCAAGTTTGAGGGGCCAGCGAAGCTCTCACCAAGGAGAAAAGGAGCTTCCATTGTCCATCATCTGCCAGAGAAAAGGAGGACAATCAGTGCCCAGAGCTGCTGCCGATGGAGCAAAGGATCTAAAAAGATCCCACTGAAAACGTGACAAAGCATCTGCCAGCGTATTATTGACCCTGGGAACATGTCAAGCTACAAAGTGAATATTGTTTTGCATGCAAAGGAGAACTAGCAAACGGAACAACCTAACCACAAAGATGCAGACAACCGGTTGTTGGCCTGAAACACTGACCGGTTGTCATTACAAAAAATAACTGACCGGTCGCGGAAACACAAGCACCACATCTCCACTGCCACCAGTATGGGGAAAAGTTCCAGTAAAGGTTTCTCGTAAGGCCCCTAGCATGCCACGAAGGCAGCCACTGGGCGGCACTCCAGGATCCCTGAAAACAAGCCCCGTAACCACAAGAACACAAAGTGTCTGTAAACAAATGGAAAGACTGCCATAACCGGACTCCATTGAAGTCCTGCAAAAAACACCCCCAGACGCGTAGATCCTCCAACATGTCCTTAGACAAGGAAATCTTAGCTTTGACCTTAGGACTGCTGCGAAGGGCCATCTCCATATCCCTTTTGAAAACCCGGCCCATGGGAATAACCCTGCAGAAAAAATTGAGGAGCCGTACGAACCGAAAGCAGCGTCCTATCAACTTTGCCCTGTGATAGCCTGCTTTGCATTAAAGAGGTGTCTATTTCAATGCCCAAAAAGGAAAGCTCTTGTGTAGGCCCCTCGGACTTGTCCTCGGCCATGGGAGCACCAAATTCTGCCAAGAGACTTCTCATGATGGTCATCAAATAGGAGCAATGAGGCGAGCCACTAGGACCCACAAGGAGGAAATCATCCAAGTAGTGCACTACCGATGTGCTGCCTGCAGCCGTGGCCACGGCCCAGTGCAAAAATGAACTGACAGCTTCAAAGAAGGCACATGACACTGAGCAGCCCATCAGTAAGCACTTATCCACGTAATAAGCAACTTAAAACCCATCCACTGAAATGAAGAAGGGTGGAGCGGGAGAAGGCATAAAGCAGACTCAAGCTTCGCCATCAAAGCTCCCTGGCCCACTTGTTGGACCAACGCCAGAGCATCATCAAACGGCTGGTAGTGGACCGAAATAAGGGCTGGACCAATGGCGTCATTAACTGACGCCCCGGGGTACGACAAGTGTTGAATGAGCCTAAATCTTTGGGAGAGCAAAGGGGCCTGCTATCCTACCCAGAGAGACCTCCTTAGATAATTTGTCTCTGACCACTTGGGGGAAAGAATAGGCAGATTGCAGATTTCTTGGCTGAAACTGGGATCATAAATCCCTCCAAAGACTAGACAGAAGCCAATCAGCTTGCTGCCAGAAAGGGTAAAAAGTCAGCCACCTCTCAATTGCGTCCACCTTCAATTGAGTGGGGTTGGCGCCTTTGAGAGAGGAGAATGAGTGACCAGAGGAGGCATGCGACTGAGAAGGTCGCTTGCACTCCGCTCCAGGATGGCCACACCCACAGGATCTTTAGATGTGAAATAATGCGAAAGGAGCAAGCAGCTCCCTTATCACATTGGTTATCATGGAATTTCCAGCATTCGCACCCCTTCCAGCCGCCACGGTAAAAGTGACGGCTGCGTCACTTCCGATGCGCGCAGAGTCGCCCATAATTATTTTTTCCCTTTTTCTAAACACCTGAGACACACCCAGGTAATCCCCAAATCCTGGACTGGTAGGGGGTCCTCAGGACTGGGTTGAGAACCCCTGTTTTAATGTAATGTTTATAGGAATTTTATTTATTTATTTATGTATTTTACATTTGTATTTTATTATTTTCGAAAATGCAAAGTGGGATACAGAAGGAAAAAGGGGTGAGTGAATGGGGGTACACACGTTTTCTGCATTGTTCACAACGGTTGACAATTAGTAAGACAAATGACAATTGGTACATATGTTCACATTGGCACAGTAGTTTGATTGCTTGCGCGAGGCAGTTTTATGTTACTTTTGTGAGCGTTTTTGCCTCTATTCCTGTACTGTTAAACGCCTAGATTCTTGTTAAGTGAGGTATTAACAACCCTTCTTAGCTAGGGTTGGATGTCCGGAGGGTCGGTTAGGCGTTATTGGCTACTGTTGCGTTTTCCTTATAACTTGTGGTGGTTCCTCAAGGCCAATTACCCCCTAGTTGGGAGTTTGCAGTGTGTGTTGAGTCGACTTCGGTCATGTTGGCTAAATAGGTATGTCGGTGGGTATTGCCCCATGGTGGGTTGAAAACTTGGCATAGAATATTGGGGAGGGGAAGCTTGGGTTGGGTGGTGATGTGGGGGTGGGGGAGAGCGGGTGAGTGCGTCAAACTTGTACCTGTGTTTTGTCTTTATCTGGGTTCATCCGAGACTGGGTTTAGGGCACGTACATAGGAGGGCTATTACTTTTGCTTACTTCCATTACCAGTCCCCATTATTCACATCCATCCCTCTTGTTGTTTATAGGGATTTTTAATGGATTATTTTCATTGTTCTCAGCTTCAGCCTGTAGTGTGCCTTCAAATAAATATAAAAAAAAGTATATATTATAAATAATGATAAAATAAAAATTTTAATAGTGTTGCTAAAACCCTGGAGTTTATTGACTGAACACCAAATTGTAATGAACTGAAATCAAATTGCAAGATTTAGGCTAAAATAGTATATCTGGTAAAATCCTTCAAATTGGCTATAGTAATAACTCGGCAACTTTTGCCTAAATTTTGCAATTTGCATATAAATTCATAAAAAATCAGTGTTTAGTAAACAGACTTCCACACCTGGTTTACTGGAGGTTGGCACTGGAGCCTGGATTAAAGTGAAACAAAAAAGTGCACATTATTAATATTTCATGACCCTTAGTTAGCTACCAAAACAATAACTTAATTTCTCAGTTAGTATTTATTGTTTTTACTTTAGTGACCGTATGATTTCCATGGGTGACTTTTGATGCATAAGAAATTGTCCTTTCAAATTAAAGGGGCACTTCAGTTATCACATAGAATATCAGTTGTCAATATCTAATAATCAGGCTAAGTTTATTATATTGTCCTCTTGTTTTCTGCATCCCATGAATGTAAAGGGTTAAATTAGATATGGTCAACTCCTCAGATCTTATTCTCAAACTAGATGATTTACCAACCTGGTAATTAATGCAGAAAAAGAGCATGTAATTAACCGTATGATTTATATTGCTAACTATGTGTGTGGTCTCTCCACAGTCATTCCACTGACAGTAAAATGCTGTTTTATTTTTATCTTAACCCCTTCACTTTCAAGGGAGATGGAAATGTATGTTTACTACATATAGGTTTATAACCATGTTCCACTATTATGAGATTAGAGTTACCCATACCATATTATATTCTATGTAGCTATAGCTGGTAGCTAGTCAGACCCATGTTTGCTTGTAAGGTTGATAAGGTCTGTTATTTTCTTTGCTGATAACTAGACAGGACTACTATCAGTTTTTACTAGCCAAGCATTGTTTGACTCATTCAACTAACTTATTGAAAAGGCAACTGAAGAAAAGTTAGTACTTAGTGAGTAAACCCCTTTTAAAGTTTCCACGCAACTTTAAATAATGTCTTGAGGGAATACATTTTAAAGTTAGTCTCAAGTCAATATTCTGTAGATAGGTGACTTTAGAGGTGGCTCTATAATTAGGCCAGTAAGGTGACTATGGCCTCACGCTTGCTTAGGGCTCACTTCATGCCAATCCTAGCACCTTGCTGTTACTGTGAGCACCTCAAATGGGATCTATTATTTTAGTTTTGTTTAACTCCTTGCAAACTAGGCTCTAGAGCAGGGGTAGGCAACCTTTGGCACTCCAGATGGACTACATCTCCCATAATACTCTTACACCCATAATGCTGGCAAAGCATCAAGGGAGGTGTAGTCCAAAACATCTGGAGTACCGAAGGTTGTGTATGCCTGCTCTAGAGCCTCCTCTGGGAGACTTGCTTTGATTGTACTATCAGATCAGTTTTACAGCCACTACAGGCACTTCCTCATTGAACACCTATATTCTAAGGTCTTCAGATTCAGAAGCATCACACGGCATTATGATGACAAACAAGTCCACTAAGCACTAGATTGGTCAAATGTCATCATTACTGACTTCACTGGGAAGGTTGAGTGGCCACAGCTTTATTAATAACTTCTTGCCAGCATCTTAACTCTGTCAGCTGTTGGGGTGTTTCACCAACAGACAGCTCTATCCAATATGAACCACAAGGCCAGAGCAGCCTTCCCCTGCCATCAGCTCTCAGCAGGCTGTGACTCCCCAAGCCACTTGGGCACCTTCTTCCATTTTAAACACCGCTGGCCAGGACTACCACGAGCTGTGACCAAACAAAAACCCTATTACCCCTTCTTATGATGTCTCTAAGTTGAAACAGTGTATCCTCCTAGTACCATCCCCTTATCTCTGTCAACAGTCATGTCCTCCCTTCCTTATCTTTCAAGGGAGGTTTTTGACTGCTGACCTGAAAGCCTCCAACCACCCGTTGCCCAATAAATACACAATAACACTTGATATGGGTAAGGGCAATGGCCACAGCTTTATTAATAACTTCTTGCCAGCATCCTCACTCTATCAGCTGTTTGGTTGTTATACCAACAGACAGCTCTATCCAATATAAACCACAGGTCTGGAGCAGCCTGCACCCGTAATCAGCTCTCAGCAGGCTGCGACTCCCAAGCCGCTTGGGCACCTTCTTCCATTTTTAACTGCGCTGGCCAGGACTACCGCAACCCCCGATGACAACCTAACTGCCCCCCTAGTCGGCACCCAAATAAAGTGAAAGGGTTCCCGAATACCCACCATCGACAACGACAGCCGCCTGCAAAAAGCCCAAACCATGGGAAGGACATGGCATGCAAAGGCCAAGTGCCCCAGCAGCACCTGCATTTGCTGCAACTGAACCTTCCTGGCCCCACGCACTAAATCCACCA